AGGATGGACATGTCGTCTGAGAAATGGGAGGGGGAGTTGAAATGGTTCGCGACTGGGAAGTGCAGTTGTTTAGTGCGAACCGAGCATAGGTGTTCCGCAAAGCGGTCCCCAAGGCTCTGCTTGGTTGCCCCGATGTAGAGGAGGCCACAACGGGAACAGCAGATGCAGTATACCACATTAGCACATGTGCAGGTGAACATCTGCTTGATGTGGAAAGTCTTCTTGGGGCCTGGGATGGGGGTGAGGGGGTAGGTGTAGGGGCAGGTGTAGCACTTCCTGCGGTTGCAGGGAAAAGTGCCGGGTGTGGTGGGGCTGGAGGGGAGTGTGAAGCGGACAAGGGACTCACGGAGAGAGTGGTCCCTACGGAAAGCAAATAAGAGTGGGGAGGGAAAAACGTCTTTGGTGGTGGGGTCGGATTGCAGATGGCGGAAGTGTCAGAGCATGATGTGTTGGATCTGGAGGTTGATGGGGTGGTACGTGAAGACATGGGGGATTCTGTTTTGGTTGTTATTGCGGGGAGGGGGTGTGAGGGATGAGTTGTGGGAAATGCAGGAGACATGGTCGAGGGCGTTCTTGACCACTGAGGGGGGGCAGTTGCGGTCCTTGAAAAACAAGGACATCTGAGATGTTCGGGAGTGGAATACCTTATCTTTGCAGATGCTGCGGAGGCGAAGAAGTTGGGAATAGGGGGATGGCATTTTTGCAGGAAAGTGGGTGGGAGTCGGTGGACTTGAAATGGATATCTGTTTCCAGGTGGTTGCCAGAGATGGAAACAGAGGTCCAGGAAGGAGGGAGAGGTATCAGAGATGGTCCAGGTGAACTTAAGGTTGGGGTGGGAGGTGTTGGTGAAGTGGATGAACTGTTCGAGCTCCTCGTGGGAGCACGAGGTGGCGCCGATACATTCATCAATGTGACAGAGGAAGAGGTGGGGTTTAGGGCCAGTGTAGCTACGGAAGAGGGATTGTTCCACGTAACCTAAAAAAAAGGCAGACATAGCTTGAGCCCATGCGGGTATCCATGGCCACCCCATTTGTAGGAAGCGGGAGGAATTGAAAGAGAAGTTGTTGAGGGTGAGGACAATTTCGGCTAAGCGGATGAGGGGGTCAGTAGAGGGGGACTGGTCGGGCCTGTGGGACTATCTCTGAACAGGATATACAACTGCTTTTTTGGGTGGATGGGGAGACACAAGTACTGTGAAATAAAAGCCAACCCCTCAGCACAAATAGTTCATTACGCGCTAAGTGATTAGTTCAAACATTGCTGTGATGGTCTATTTTCCGATTACTCTATTATATCATTCTGTTTCAATGGTACAAAGACAACCATAATGTGTGGAATTTTGTTCTTTATAAGACCCTGACTTCCGAGAAATCTCAGTAAGGGGCACCTTTTGAAGCATGTGGAAGATTCAAAACCTAACAGATTCATAGCTGCTGAATTGGAAGGATATCTATAAGACCATACCACATGGGAGCAGAAATTAGGCCATTCGGCCCACCGAGTCTGCTCCACCATTCAATCATGGCTGATAAGTTCCTCAACCCTGCTTTCTCCCCGTAACCCTTGATCATCAAGAACCTATCTATCTCAGTCATAAATGTACTCAATGACATGGCCTCCTCAGCCTTCTGTGGCAGTGAATTCCATAGAATCACCACTCTCTGGCTGAAGTAATTTCTCCTTACCTCCGTTCTAAAAGGTGTTCCCTTTACTTGAAGGCTGTGCCCTCGGGTCCTAGACACTCCTGTCAATGGAAGCATCTTCCCAACATTCACTTCATCCAGGCCATTCAGTATTCTGAAAGTTTCAATTAGATTACCCCCACCTCATCTGTCTAAACTCCAATGAATATAGACCCAGAGTCCTCAAACGTTCCTCATATGTTAAGCTTTCCATTCCTGAGCCCATTCACGCGAAGCACCGCTGAACGTGCTCCAGGGCCAGTACATCCTTCCTGAGATATGGGGCCCAAACTGCACGCAATACACCAAAACATGGCCTGACCAGAGCCTTATAAAGCCTCAGTAGTACATCCCTGCTTTTATATTCCAAGTCCTCTCAAAATAAATGCCAACATTTCACTTGCCTTCCTGACTACTGAGTCAACCTGCAAGTTTACCTTGCAAGAATCCTGGACTAGAACTCCCAAGTCTCTTTGCACTTCTAGTGCAACTATCTTGTAATGTCTCAAACTAAAACTAAAGTTTAAACAAGAAACATGCATCAGAATTGACTGCATTGAGCTACATTCACTCACTTCCAATCATTCTGCAGAATGACGAATCAAATAACATACTGAATTTAAACTTTTACTACAATCTTGTTTTTAAAAAAGTTGCAATTACTTATTCTACCATTTCTACATACAATGCCTAATTTGAAAGTTGTTTAACCACTCATACATTGAGTATAATTCTGATCTCAATATGTGATCTTGTGGAAACTTCCTTCCATCAGCTGTTTCCCAGAAATTTGCAGGAAACTAGGGAGGAAATTGCTGGGCAACTTGCTGAGATATTAGGTATAAAATTGGTTTGAAAGTAGGAAATAGAGGGTGGTTGCAGGTTCTGAGGCCACTGCTTCTTGCTATTTATGTAACAGATTTGATGTGAGTATAGGATGTTTGCAGATGACACCAAAATAGGTGGTGGACAGTGAAGATTCTCAAGTACAATGCAATCTTGATCAGATGGGCCAAGGAGTGGCAGATGGAGTTTAATGTAGATAAATGCAAGGTGTGGCATTTTGGTCAAGCAAACCATGGCAGGACTTAATTTGAAAAAGTACCCATCACTATCTGTGGAAGAGCAATACAATGGTACTTCTATAGTCTCTTGTAATGGTTATCTGACTCAAAATATCCCCAAACCTCCTTCAACTGACATTCCATGCCAAATATATTACTCTACAAGGGAACAGAGGTGGCTTTATCTGCCACTAAAGTGAACCCTCTACCTCAACATTTTCAAATGTAACCCAGAATAGAATTTTATGTCCAAGCCGATACACCAGCAAAACTTCAAGCTCCATCTGGCAGAACAATTGCTGTTACTGAAGTACAGCACTATGCTCTCAACTACATATCAGGGCTAGATCAACATGTAAACCTAGTAATGCACGAAAAATCTCACGAGTGTTTTGGGCATTGCATTCACAAGGTCAGTGTCTAGCTTAGTGGTCAACTAGCACCATTTATCTCTGAATAATACCACCATTTTTCTTTTAAATATTCAAGGCATAGAATCTTGAGTGAATTTATGTTTTTTCATACCTCTCCCAAATGAGTGGCTAGTGAACTTGCATTTTACAAATAGAAGACCCATTGACAAACAGCAATAAACAGGCAAGAGAAATAGGTAGTGCATACCAGATTTATTCTCAATTTCATATATACATAAGTGAAACAATATATCTGATTCCCAAATGGTGCACTAAGACACATACAGTAGTAATGTTGGCCCCAGGGCTCATTGTGAGACATCTTTTATGACTTAGCAAAGCCACCTGGACAAAATGGTCCACATTCAACATTTAGAAATCTGGCCGATCCTTCTTCAGTTTGCTGTAGTCCATGTTTACAGCAAAGAACTATTAATGAAAAAAAGAAATAAGAAAACAAAAAGGAAATTCAGATCAAAAGTTCCAGCTTAAATGCAAACCTTTTCCAAAGAAGTCAAATACTGGGGTTTGCTTAAAAGCTAAAATATTCTCCACCACCACCTGCCCCCACCCCCACCAAAATATTACAGCACACTAACTTAAATGTTTAAAACAATCTTTTAAACATTATGTTCAAATTGGACAGCACTGCAGCTCAGTGGTTAGCACTACTACCTCTCAGCACCAGGGACAGGTTCAATTCCACCCTTGGGTGACTGTGCAGAGTTTGCACATTCTCCCTGCGTCTGCGTGGGTTTCTGCCAGGTTCTCTGGTTTCTTTCCACAGTCCAAAGATGTGCAGGTTAGGTGGACTGGCCATGTTAAATTGCCTGCAGTGTTCAAACTAAGTGGGTTAGGGTAGGGGATGAGTCTGGGCGGGATGCTCTTTAGAAGGGCCAATGTGGAGTCAATGGGCTGAACAGCCTGCTTCCACACTGTAGGGAGTCCATGGTTCTATGATTTGATTCTGTAGTAGAGCCAAAACAAAAGCTCATCACCCCACACCCTCCCCCAAAACGGAATGACTTACCTTGGTTTGGCAAAGTGAGCCAGTTTAGAACAATTTGACATCCCATTTTAAAAACAGGGCATGCACACCAAGTTTGTATTATGACATATATAAGCAAGTTTGCAGCTTTTTAAAGGGAGGGGGAAAACAGATTCACTTGCAAATGTCCCTATGATATGATAACCACCACAACTACTAGCAACAAACTAAACACATTGGACAATTGTCAACCATTGCTCTGAACACAGGCCTGTTGAACAGCATCAGAATCTGGGGACCTGCCTTGAACTTGGTGCCTGATTTTAAATGAATGAAAGCCAATTTCTTTAATTTGATTATAAATCAAAAAGTTAGTGATATGGTCAGTGAAGCATACAACTGACAGACCTAAACTTAAAAATTTGATTATGGTCTCATTATCTGTTTTCTGAATAAAGAACAGAGACTTGATAAGGCCTTATGGGCCTACAGACAATAGCCATATTGAACAAGTGCATTTGAATAGGATGCATTCTGATACCACATGCTCATGATCTAGTACCAACTCTGCTTTTCCAGACATTTGATACTTTAAGCAATTGTCAAAGTTTAGCAACATCTAAGCAATAGTCATTTAGACTTTGCACCCACCAGTAAAATCCTGGTGATCATCCACCCTTGACCCATTCACTGAATACCTGATTTAAAACTGAGCTTGCTGAGACTTTTGTTAAAGTGAACCAACCTGACTAACTGCCTTTTAAAGAATATTAAGCTTTACCACTGTTGGCAAGGTTGCCCAACCTCACTGCTGGAACAATAGGTTCTAATTTTAAGACCACGTCACTAGATCCAGATTCTCCAACCAGGAGATTTTCTTCAAGCTTAACACTTCAATTAATAGGAAAACCTAGATCACAGATTTAACTGTCTAAATGACAGTTAATACAACACTGGTTAGTACAATTTCTCAATTGAAACTATTTAGACTAGATATTGGCAAGAAGTTACACTGCAATCCCTCCAAGTTTAATATCTTTCTCAGTGTTGTACTCAGCCATTCTAGTATATCCAACTAATGACCTGTACATCTGAAGCATGACTTAACCTCACTTTCTAGACATGTAGTCAAAGTGATCTTACTGAAACACAAGATTGAGATGTCACAGAATAGATCAGTGACCATTTCTAATTCCTGATTCCCCTACAATGAGGACAGTACTGTTCAAAAATAAGGGGTGTTTCATTTAAGAAATAGGAAGAATGTCTTCCTCTGAGGGAAGACATCTTTTTAAATTTACTGTGGAAGAGACTAGATCAATGAAGGCATTCAAGACTTTTGACCCAGAACAGAATCAAGGATTTAAAAAAAGCAGGCAAGCAGGAAAGGCCACAATTAAAATCTACAAACATTGTGCATGATAGTTGTGCAGATACAATTTACATGGATCCCCAAGACTCTAACACATTTTAAACTACTTGGAAAAACAGTCCATCTTTGAGGTCCAAAGCAAATGGTTTAACACTGGCCTACATTTGTTTTAATTTGTCATAATTTTGTCTATTCACTTCATCTTGTAATACCCTTAATGTCATGCTTCCATCTACATCTAACTTTCAAGCTACAAGTGGATCATTTATCACTGCCTCAAAGTAGTGCACATATGGTACAAGGTTCAGGCTGTGAAGTTCATTGCAGAACATTAAGGGTTTATGTAAACATGCAGAAAACATTTCCAAAGAAATTGATTCCATGTTGCTGTCTCCAGCTTCATGCTAAGTCAACAGCTTGGTTTCAGCCCATTGGCAGAATTATTTCATGATTTATAGTGTATGCACAACAATGGGATCAAGACAATAGATCAAGTGAAACTGATTTTCATTGGAAGACTGCTGAGTTTTTTTTTAAGTGTAAGAAATGGATATTACCTTGTACTGTTCATTGGGTGCTATCTTATTCCATGGCTCAGGGTTATTCTTGCGATTCCAGCTGAAGGGGCAAAGGGAAGATGTACAATTAAGAAACATGCCACATTAATTGACAGTTCAAGAAATAAGAAAATAAAAGTTTTGCTTTGACAAGTTGCTGGTTAAAATGTGAACATTCTAGTCCTCAATAAATCTACTACAAATAAACATTTACTGAGAAATCATTAAATCAAAAGTTTACTTATGGTGAAAATAAGCACTCGTGTATGGAAAAAATATTTGCATTAACATTAAAAAACCCCAAAGTGACTTAAGCTATTTTGAATGCGTTGATTGAAGTTAAAATTAACTGTTGCTGGCATTCCACATTTAGAATCCAAATTTTACAAACAGGAACTTAGTGACTCAGTTACACAATCTTTTTATAGATGTGAACTAAAATTTAAAGGTTCAGGCATTTACACGAATATTGCCTCTAAGAATTCTTCACAGGAGCTAGAGCGCACAAAAAAGTGACATAAGGAGATATTAGGTCAGATGACTAGATGCCAATTTTAAGCAGCATCATTTAAAGGACATGGATGTCACTGACTGGCCAGCATTTATCGCTCATTCTTAGGTACCCATGAGAGAAAGTGTTGGTGAGCTGCCTTCTTGAATCGCTGCAAATCCATCTGCTCTTACTGACGTAAGGAGACGCAAAGAGGAAATTCCAGAGCTCGGAGCACAAGTAACCAAAGGTGCAAAAAACAAAGTATACAGCAATTAAAGCCAGGGTTGCTGACAATGCCATATTTAGATCAACATGCATTGGTGGGTTTAACAGATTACAGAGGTACATAGGACAAGGCCTTGGAGAAATTTTAAAACAAATAAGAATCTCAAAATCAGGACTTTGCTTGGCTTGACAAACAAACATAGGTCCGTGAGCACAGGGTGACAAGTGAACAATACTTGTAAGTGTAGATACAGGCAAAGGCTTGGATGATCTCTTGTCTGTGGAAAATCAAAAGTGGGAGAAATGCACGGTTCTCTCTAACCTGGACTATCCCAAAAACTGCAAGGGAGGGTTTCAGCAGATAAGCTGAAACAGAGGCAAAGTTAAGCAGATGGAAATAAGCGTGTTAGTGGCTGTGTGAATACATAGTCACATGCCCATCACAGCAAGGTGCAAACAAGCTAGTTTAATCTGAACTTCTGACAGGGCACCCATAATTCACTGCTGGCTGTGCTGCATCTGATTTTAATCAGTCCATTATTGTTGATCACACTTTGCTGCCTAGGCTCCAGGTTCTGGAGTTCACTGCCTACACATTCCCACTTTTCCCCTCCTTGAAATAGATCCCTCCAATCAAATTCATGACATAACTGAATCACCAAACTGTTAGTTACCACAGTATAATATACTATAGTTTAGTTATGTCCTATAGTGTTACATTTTCTGTGATTAAATTGGTCATGTGGCAGTGAAAGTATGGCTAACAACCTGTTTATTGAACATACAGCTTGCATATATTCATTCAACCATAAAGTACACTATAATGTTACAGCTCAATTATCACCCACCTAACATCAGGGTTACGGACAGCAAGCCGCAGCAGATACATGCTTGCTCCTAAACTTCCGGTTCCAATGAAGATAAACAATGGAATTAACTACAAAGAAGAAAAATGAGTTATACATATTAACAACCATAAAATGGTTATTAAAAAAAACTTTAGCTGTAAGATAGTTCAACATTATATAAAAAAAACTCACTATAAAGCTAGTCACAGTCAGGAATATCTGAAGTTTGGTAACAGACACTCATATTACGTGAGCAGCTTGCATGTAACAATGTGGCTGCTGCATTCTTTCACTCTCCAGCAATCCAGTAAAAATAAACATCCAACCCATAATTTTAACTAAATAAGAGCTCAAGTATTTGCATTTCCAATCTAGTGGAATCTAATAACCTTCAGTAATCACCACAAGGTCACTGAAGGCTGCCTTGAATGTTTTCCTGCTTCAGTGCCATTTAAAAGAAGAGAGGCTTAGTAACCTGGTGCAAAGTATGTCAAAAATGACTCATTAGTTTTATATATTATGCACAGTTCAAAAAAACATATGGTGCATTTGTTAAATGTTGTTTATTCCTACTCAGATAATTTGGACTATATTTACTTGCTCCCTGCAAGTAAACTAAAGAAAGCAGAAACATTCATATTCTGTACAAATGCCCAAAACATGCAAATAAACAAATGCATGGAAAGCCACAAGAGCAAGGAAAAAAACCCATTTTCTTCAAGGTCAAAGTCTGTCACTGTGATATTTGCTACACATTTAAACAAGTTCAGAAGCAGTGTGTGAAGTCTGTGGAATGTCCTTCTCCCTACACCATCTGCAAATGGAAAATCAGAATTAAAAATATTGTACCTATGCTCAAGTTATAACTTACCCATGTGCAAACAAAAAAAAACTGTCCAAAAAGTTATTTCCACAACTGATCAAGGGCAACAAGAAATCTTAAGAACTTTATGATTTAAATATTTTTACTGCTTTAGCCTACACTTTGTAACAGACTCTGGTTCAACTGAGATTCCAGGTGAGTGAGAACAAACCAATATTATTGAAGTCAACACAAGGGGGTCAGAGTTCAGTTATGATAAACATTGTCAAATTAATGTCAGCAATCTTCAGAAGCCAATAAACATTTGAACTTCAACTCAATTACTTATAATCACCAATTAATGCTAAATAAAATGGAAGTTGCACAAATAGCATTCTAGAACTCATGCCAAAATAAGTAACAGAAAACAGAAGCTGTCATCACTGCAGTCCTCATTATAAACAGGATGCAGCAGAAGCCTACCAAATGCTGCTTCTTCAGGATTGTGAAGCTGTAGAATAGCTCCAAAGCTGTACACCTCCACACAAACAAACGTGTTCTCTTAAGGGCAGAAAAAGCCCTTATTCAACACAAACCAAAATTCATAACTGGCAACTCAGCAAAGGCAATTAGGAATTTAAGTAAAAACAAGAACCTAGGAGGATTTTTTTCCCCCCTAAGTCGTCCTTTCGGATTCTGAGTATATCAACCATGCACAAATGCGAATTGTAAGACTCTGGCAAAATATGAAACCCTCGTCCTCAGACACCCTCTATCAGGCGGCTAGCAAAATGCTGGCAGTGTAGTTTGATAGGGTGAAAACACGACCCCACTTAACGTACAAAATTATCACTCGGGGAAGTTAAAACGGGGCCAATTGAGGAGGCACGTATCATTGTTAAAACAAAATCAAAGTGCATTAGCGACTGCAGCTAGAAATGCAGGTGACTGCGGCCTAACGATCACAGAAGCCGCCCCCAACCTCCTCCACATGGCTCCGCCAAAAAAACCACCGAATGCGGACTTAGAAGGTCCGGCGGGAGGAGACCGCGACTCCCGGCTGTTCCCCACTCGCACGCCTTGTACTCACGCTCGGATGGCTCTTGACCTGTCGAATCACTAACCCCAACATGACAGCGACACTCTCTTACCACACCCACCCGGCAACTGAGGCACTTTAGCCGCGTTCACTCAAAGTCATTAGGGGTCTTCGGTTAGAGTAGACCGCGCATTCTCCTGGACATGGTGAGGGAGACATTGACACCAGCCTGTACACAGCAATGCTCACAATTTTTTCGAACTAATTAAAACATCCAGTGGCCGTCAATAATAACAATTCAATTTGACTTTGGTTTTAAACAATTTCAGATAGAAAATCTGGCGCTCTATCTTGGCACCTTACCGCAGGGAAAGCCCCTTTCCACCCTTCCCAAACAAGATCTGTCACGTGAGCTGAGTGTTTGGAACTGAGTGGGTACAATGCCCAGTCTAGAACTGAGAACATGGGGACATTAGCTTACAAACCTAAAATTTCCAGCTGCCTATTTAGGTATCGCAGAATGATGACAATAAAGAAAGACTTACATTTATATAGTGCCTTTCACATGGAGTGTGAACAACTCATAGTTGGCATCCGAGGGGTCAGGGAGTTGCATGTGCCATGGTGGGTACAGAGGATGTTGGCAAAGCTGCAGCACCTGTGGCAGGGTGGAGGAGGTGGTGTCAAACCTGTGTGTACCGCAGATGCACAAAGATCAATTTGAACAGAACGTGGAGCAAACAGCATGTCAGATGCAGAGAGCTTAGGTCAGGCACCTCCAGTATCGGATGCCCTTGGAAAATCTAGAATGGTTCAACCCAACATAACATCCCCATCCCAGGGAAGTTACTGGTGGAGACCAGAAATACCAGATACTCCTCTGCCATAGCCTATCAACCTCCACATATGCACAAATAACTGCAAGTTGGCAAGCCAGCCAAGAATTAAGCCAAGCGTGGAATGCTGATGGTACACTGCATTCAAGATGGCGACAACACTGGGCAAGTCTTTGCGAGACCTCTACACCATGTCTTATTCTACATTTCATATAACCGTTCCACACTTTTAAACCTAAATGGTCTTGTTTTGTGAACCTCCCGTGCAGCTGTAACCTTATGTGCCTCACTCTGTGTAAGCACCCTCTGATCTGTACGTCCTTATTTGCTAAGACCTGTCCTGCTTGCACAGAACAAAACTTTTCACTGTACTTAGGTACATATGACTACAACAATAAATTAAATCAAATGATCACTTTATTGATGAAGTTTAAGTAATAATGAACAAAATTAACTAAGCAACAACTCATATATGTAGCACAATGATCAGGAATTTAAAGCCAATCTAGCCACCATAAGAATGGTTAATCTGTATACTTTTGCACATACTTGGTGGCATTCAGAAGTTTGCAGTAACGTTAAGGACAGTGTACCCTGTGCAAAATATTAGCGAAGTAATTGGCTGTAACAATGTTTGTTGGAACACTGTTCAGTTTCTTCTTAAATTAACTTGTCCAGGTATGGCATGACACACTGCCATGGCAGGTGGGACTAAAATCTAGATTTTTCGCCTAGAGGAAAAGATACTGCCACAATGCCTCAAGACTCCCTACTCATTCAGCTTTTGGTCAACGATGTTGTACGTTCTGTAATTCAAACTTGGGTTGTCTGCGGAATACACTGAAAGTTTTGTTATAGGCTGAGATTGAAGTTACTAACATTGGGTAATATCTCTCCTGCAATTATTCTTAAGGTTTGCTGGCTATCAATATAAACCCAACAGTAAATGCTTGGCCCCACTCCATAACATTGAAATATCTCAAAATTAATGAGAAACACTTTAGTTCTATATCCTGGTTACAGACCCTTGGGGGTGTCTCAGTGGTTCAGTCATCAGCACTGCTGCCTCACACTGCCAGGGACCTGGGTTTGATTCCAGCCTCGGGCAACTGTCTGTGTGGACTTTGCACATTCTCCCCAAGTCTGCCTGGGTTTCCTCCGGGTGCTCCGGTTTCCTCCCATAGTCCAAAGATGTGCAGGCTAGGTGGATTGACTATATTAAATTTCACCATGGTTTGCATGCTAGGTGGGTTAACCATGGTAAATGCAGGGTTACAGTGATAGGGTGGGGAGGTGGGATGCTCTCCGGAGTACAGTGCAGACTCAATAGGCAGAATGGCCTCCCTCTGCACTGTAGGGATTCTATGATTCAGAAGTATCAAATGCCAAAGTAATAATTTGCTTTGATGTAATCTAAAAAATTTCCGTTTCGCGTTGTTGCCTTCGTTTTCCCACACATTAGGTTTCTTGTCATGGAGGTCACACTCTAGATTTCTTTATCAACATTTACATTGCAGCTCAAATACCTGTAAGACTAATAGTGCTTCATTGGCATTGTAGTCTTTAGTTCAGCAGCTGTCATTCTGTTCTCTTGAGGCCATGAGGATACTCTAAAAAAGATCCCGATGATGATGTACCTGCACTTCTAGAGGTAAATTTGTGCTTTCCTCACAAAATGTGCTGATCAACCTCCTGCCTTCTTTGGCGGCTGACATGTTATTACCTTGATGCAAAGTGCATCATGCTCTTCCTTCCTGGTCTTTTGCTAAAACATCACACTTTACCTCATATTTCACTTGGGAACCCTGCAGCCCAATGGTATCAATGTGGACTTCACAAGCTTCAAAATCTCCCCAACCTCATCCCAAAACCAGCTCAGCTCGTTCCCGCCTCCCTAACCTGTCCATCATTTCTCCCACTTATCCACTCCTCCCACCTCAACCCCCACCCACACCTCCTACCTACCAGCCTCATCCCCGCTTCCTTGACCTGTCCGTCTCCTCTCCACCTATCTGCTCCTTTATCCATCTTCCATCCGCCTCTCCCCCCTCTCTATTTATATCAGAATCCCCTTCCCCTCCCCCATTTCTGAAGAAGAGTCCAGACCCAAAACATTAGCTTTCCTGCTCCTCTGATGCTGCTTGGCCTGCTGTGTTCATCCAGCTCCACACCTTGTTATCTCACACTCTTTACACCATTCTGGATTGAATTAGACATTTTGATTTGATGAATGCAACAATGTGCGGGATGATGAGAATGATGCTAGTAGCTAGCACTTAATGAGTGCATTGAATACAAGAGCATGGAGATTATGATGGAGCTGTGTATAATGTTAGTCAGGCAGCTGGAGTACAGTGTGCAGTTCTGGTCACCACATTATAGGGAAACTGTGACTGCACTAGAGAGGGTGCAGAGGGCTGAACTGATCAGAGATTAGATAGGCTGGGATTGTCTTCCTAAGAAGACTAAGGTGGGGATCTGATTTAAGTGTACAAAGTTCTGAGGAGCATAAACAGGGGAGATAGAGAGAAGCATCTCCACTTAGTAAAGGGGTCAATAACGAGGGGCTACATTTTAAGACATATAACAGGAGGTGTCATGGAGGACGCTGCTGAGTAAGATAAGGGCCCATGGCGTTAGAGACAAGTTGCTAGCATGGATAGAAAGATTGGCTATTTGGCAGAAATCAGAGAGTGGAGTTAAAAGAGTCTTTCTCAGGATGGCAGCCAGTGACAACTGGTATTGCACAAGGGTCAGTGATGGGACCACAACTTTTCACTTTATACATTAATGATCTAGATGAAGGAACTGACAACATTCTGGCTGAGTTTGCAGATGATACAAAGGTAGGTAGAGGGACAGGTAGTATTGAGGAGGTGGGGAAGCTGCAGAAGGATTTGGACAGGTTAGGAGAGTGGGCAAAGAACTGGCAGATGGAGTACAACATGGGAAAGTGTGAGGACGTGCACTTTGGTAAGAAGAATAAAAGCATGGATTATTTTCTAAATGGGGAGAAAATTCAGAAGTCTGAAGTGCAAAGATAGTTGGGAGTTCTAATCCAGGATTCTCTCAAGATAAATTTGCAGTTTGAGTCAGTAGTTAGGAAGACAAATGTAACTTTGGCATTTATTTTGAGAGTACTTGAATATAAAAGCAGGGATGTACTTCTGAGGCCACATTTGGAGTATTGTGCACAGTTTTGGGCCCCTTATCACAGGAAATATGTACTGGCCCGGGAGCGGGTTCAGAGGAGGTTCAGAGAATAGACCAAGGAATGAAAAGCTTAACATATGAGGAACGTTTGAGGACTCTGGGTCTGTACTTGATGGAGTTTAAATGAATGAGGAGGGATCCAATTGAAACTTACAGAATACTGAATGGCCTGGACAGAGTGGATGTTGGGAAGATGTTTCTATTGGTAGGGGAGACTAGGACCTGAGGGCACAGCCTTAAAGTAAAGGAAAGACCCCTTAGAATGGAGATAAGGAGAAACCTCTTCAGCCAGAGAATGGCGAATCTATGGAATTCATTGCTACAAAAGGCTGTGGAGACCAAGTTATTGAATATGTTTAAGGCGGAGATTGTTAGGTTCTTGATTGTCAAGGGGATCAAGGATTACAGGGAGAAAGTGGGAGAATGGGGTTGAAAAACTTATCAGCCATGATTGAAGAGCAGAGCAGACTCGGTAGGCTGAATGGCCTAATTGCTGCTCCTATGTCTTATGGTCTTATGGTTTAGAGGGCATTTGAGGAAAAATGTTTTCAGCCAGAGAGTGGTGGGTTTCTGGAAATCCCTGCCTAAAAGGATAATAGAGAGAGGGATTCTTAAGACATTTAAGGACTATTTAGATGAACACTTGAGATCCCACAGCATGCAAAGTTATGGCCAAGTGCTGAAAAATGAGAATAGAATAGATGGATGTTTGAAGACTAGCATGGACAGAATGGGCTAAAAGGCTCTTTCCGTGCTGTAAAAGGTCTGTTAATCTATGACCTGAAAATGCTCTTGAATAACTGACATTGACATTAACCAATGAGTCTGGAAGGCCAACATCATATAACATTGAGGGAACCACCTTAAGATTACAGTTCAGGTCCAATAAGACCTTTACTCACAGGCATTCTCACTGACTATGAATTGATCACAGATGATATTAGACCAATGAAGAATAACCATTAGTATTGTCTCTGACTGGATGAATAGTATTCATATTAGTTGGCAAGTCCCTGCGAATGAAAGGATTTTTCCTTGGATTGGACTATGGCTGGGCAGTGCAAGCTTCTAAATATTGGAAGTAAAGACATCAAGTATCAGAATGAGTCCCCGCACTAGATTGTTCAGTATAAAACCAAATATCTGACCACCTCTATGGATATCATCTTTATTTACAACAATAAGCACTTTTGAAGTCTAGATATTGTTGTAACATAGGACAGCAATCAATTTGTGCATCGGGGAGGCTCCCACA